ATAAACTACTGCGAGAACCTCACGTTCATCAGCAGTGTAGTTTATCTCGCCGGGCAGGAGCTAACGGGAGTAGAAGGCTATCGGACAATCACCTGAGCGAGACTCGACAATGCCGTCCTCGGCGATGGTAGGAGAATAGTCAATAGAAGGCTCGTCAGTAGCTGAACGAGTAGGCGTCAGTCGGGAAGCAGTGGTAGGGGTAGGTGGTGGGAAGTGAGGGATACGAGGATGAGAGGAATCAGGAGATGAGGGGAAAACCTGAGAAAGCACTGCTCCTACAGCGAAGTCTGATGCATCGGTGGTAAGGATAAAAGGGCGGTCAAAATCGGGTAGGCGAAGAACCGGTGCGCATGTCACCGCCTTCTTGAGGGCGCGGAAGGCGTCCTCATGGAGGGGTGTCCAAGCCCAGGGTGGGTTCTTCCGGAGGAGGGTGGAGGTAAGGACGTAGGAATACCTAACGTATCCCCGGATGAAGTTACTATAGTAGCTGGTTAGGCCTAGGAAACTGCGAAGCTGCTTGGCGGATGTGGGAGCGGGCCACTCCGCAATAGCAGTGATCTTCGCGTCGATCATGTGGAGACCCTGGTCAGACACATAGTGTCCTAAGAAATCCACTTTGTGCTGGGCAAAACGTCACTTGCTTAGCTTGGCGTAGAAGCCATGTCTGCGCAAGCGGTCAAGGACGTCGCGGAGGTGTCTAAGGTGCTCCTCAAGGGTACAACTATAGACCAGGATATCGTCGAGGTAGACGAGAACGTACCGCTCCAGGATGTCCCTAAAGATGTCGTTCATCGCCCTCTGGAAGGTAGCGGGTGTGTTGGTGAGGCCGAATGGCATCACCGTGAACTCGTAGTGGCCGAATCGCGATCGGAACGCGGTCTTCGGCTGGTCGGCTGCAGCGACGAGGATCTGATGGTAACCGCTACGAAGATCAATCTTCGTAAAGAAGCGGTTGCCTGCTAGGCGGTCGAACAGCTCATCGGAACGAGGCATGGGGTAGCTGTTCTTAACCGTGTAGCGGTTGAGACCGCGGTAGTCGATGCAGAGACGAAGAGTTTCATCCACTTTGCGAACAAAGAGGACGGGTGCACCCTACGGGGAGTTGCTGGGTTTAATGAAACCCAGTCTCAGGAGCTCCTCAAGCTGACGCTTGAGTTCGGTGGCCTCGGGGATCAAGAGTCTGTAGGGTGCCTGGTGGTGAACACGATAGTCAGGCACGAGCTGAATGGAGTGCTCGACGTCACGCATCGGTGGGATGCCGGCGTACGAGAACGACGATGGGAAAACGTTGTGGTACTCTCAGATGAGGTCACGAACTGCGGGCTCCAAGTCAGCCGTATATCGTGCGAGTTCCTCAGCGTCAGCGTCAGCAAGCGACAGCGGGGTGGACTCGACGGACGGCGGAGGGACGAAAGTAGATATGGGATCCATGGAGATAGAGGGAGGATCTGGCTCCAGAGGGATGAGCTCGGCGTCGGGACAGGGTGGATTATAGTGTAAGAGATCCGTCACGTCCACCATAAAGAAGGTGACGTTGTCCTGTCGAATGAAGTGAGCGAACTGCCTAGGCGAGGTGACACTAATAGAGGGAGATGGTGTGGGCACTGAAGGCTCCAGGGGAGGAGGATCGGGGCGTGGTGTCGCCGTGATACCTATGAAAGGTACGCGATACGTCTGTCCACACTTCGTTTTGAGAACGAGAGTGTTGGTCGCCTAATCGGCCTCGGTGCTGCGGAACCGACGAGACCACGGAGTGCCGAGAATAAAGTCATACCCCGTCTCCATCACATCGAAATGTGCAGAGGAGCGGTGGCAATGAGACGCCGGGGAACGATCAGTCGGCTCGAGAGTGAGGAAGAAGAGGAGGTCGGTGACCGTCTGATCGAAGAAGCGTTGGTTCTTGTCATCCCCTAGGGTAACGGAGATGGGAGTCGGAGACCCTGTCGTGGGTAAGCGGGCTTCCTTCACCACGCATGGGTGAATGAAGTCGCCCTGAGAACCGGAATCCCACAACGCTGAGTACACCCTCGTGGAGGTCCCGAGTTGTACGGGGATGATCGGGAGGGTGCGATCAGGGTCAGAGAGGATGGCGAGAAGGCGACGCAGTGCAGC